TTCTCTGACTAATTTTGCTTAGCATAAGACCCTCTAGTTCCATCCACGTAGTTGCAAATGGCAAGATTTCATTCTTTTTGATTGCCAAGTAATACTCCATTGTATATATAAACCACATCTTCTTTATCCATTTATCCATCAATGGACATTTGGGTTCTTTCCATACTTTGGCTATTGTTGATAGTGTGGCTATAAACATGGTGGGGTGGGGGGACAAAACAGAAGAGACTCATAAATATGGAGAACTAACTGAGGGTTATGGGAGGGGTTGTGGGAGGGGGGATGGGCTAAATGGGTAAGGGACACTAAGGAATCTACTCCCGAAATCATTGTTGCACTCTATGCTAACTAATTTGGATGCAAATTTAAAAAAATAAGAAGTAAAACAAGTTAAAAAAATAAGTTGTCTTTGTATGTGTGGCTCCATTTCTTAGTCTCTCTACTCTGATCTGCTGATCTATTTGTCTCTCTTGATGGCAATACTACAGTGTCTTACCACTGTAGCTTTATAATAAAACTTGAAATCAGATAGTATTAGTTTTCCAAATCTGTGGCTCTTTTTCAACTTGTTTTGAAAATTCTAGGTCCTTTGCTTCCCATATAAACTTTAGAATCAGTTTGGTAATCTCTAAGAGAAACCTGCTTACCTTCTGATTGAGAGCGCATTGAATCTATAGATCAATTTGGGGAGAATTGTCACCCTAACATTTTTGAGTGTTTCAACCAGTTAACATGGTTTACATCTCCATTTCTTTAGGTCTTCTTTAATGTTCTAAGCAATATTTTGTAGTTTTGAGAGTACAGTTCTTGCACATTTTTGTAAGATCTACACTTAGCTATTTTATGTTTTTTTGATACTAGTGGAAATGGTATCTGAAAGATATTTTAATTTCCTATTGTTTGTCACTGGTATATAGAAATACAATTGATTTTTGAATAATAAGCTTTATTGTAGATTCCATGAGTTTCCTCTTTTTCCATCATGTCGGCCACGAATAAAGACCATGTCAGAGGTACTGGGTGGTAAACTCGCTGCTCCTGGGCTTTGCACTTGAGTCCTCTCTGCTCTGCCAAGCCCACTCCATGTATCCAGTTTCTGGAGTTTTGTTGCTGCTGTCCTCTCTGTCATTGTCCTTAGTCTGTGGGTTCCTTTCTCATCACTCTGGTGGGATTTAAGGCGGGAGGATGTGGTGCTCAATCCACTATCTTTAACTGAAAGCTGTGTCCTCACTGGGGCTGGGGGAGGAGACAGAGGAGGCCCTGGAGATGGCCTGTGGCGGGGGGAATGGCCGTCAACAGGACCGCTGGTGGTGAGGCGTTCCAGCCCACAGAGTTCTGTCTCCTCATCTGCTAATGGGTCATCCTGTTTCTTGTGGCTCTGGGGAATGGGGCAGGTCTGGCTCCACACTGCTGCTCAGACAGGAGTAGGGGCCTCCTCCTTGTCTGCTGCAATAGCCCCCAACTTCACAGTGAGCAGAGAGAGGGGTAGGAATATCCGTCTTCCAGAGTCTGAGGAAACAGAACAAATGGAGCATCAGATCAGGCAGTTCTGGCCCTGATGAGGAAGGAGCCAGCTGGATGCTCCCAGTGGATGCCAGGGGCCTCTCTCATGGCCTCCAGTCCTACAGCTGCCTTTCTCCTGGTGCTTGGTCCCTGCACCAGGGCACATGTGGACAGAGCGGCTGGGCCTGCAGGATGCTTCTGTCCACCTGAGGGTGGGGTGCCTGGAACACGTGTATATAGTAGATGGACAGACACAGGTGGATACCCGGGGAGCTGGGGCAGTTTAGGGGATGTCTTTCTGTGTGAGCCTCACTTGGAGTCAAGCTTGTGAGAGGGGTCAGGGCAAAGGGGACTGTCCTCCTCAGTGTCCTCGGGTAGGGGCTGGTGAGACCTGGATCACAGGGTCTCAGTAAGGATTTGGGAATTTAACCTGTGGACAACAGGAGTCTGATGGCAGGGTCAAGTGAATGGGTGAGGGGTAGGAAACCAGGGTGGTCCCAGCAGGGGTTCTGCTTGGGGACGGTGTGGAGGGGGACAGAGGCACAGCCCTGCAGGGCTGGCAATGTGGGGTGAGCACAGGTGGATGCCAGTATTACAGCGTGAAGTCTCTCTGTCCCCCTGGAGGGGAAGTCATCCGAATTTGGTGGGAGGGGCCCCTGTGGAGTGGGGGCTGTTGAGAGGCCTGGAGCCCAGGACAGGGTGTGGGGTGGGGGTAGGTGGAGCTTAGGATGAGAATCGTCCCGGACGGGGTATGGCCTGGAGAGCAGGGGCCAGTTCAGAGAAGGGTACCCTTTGCAGCTCTGGGGAGTCTGGTAGGGAGATTCCTCCTGCAGTCCTCGCTCAGAACGGGGAGAGCTGAGGGCTGGGCTCCCTCCCAGCTGAGGCCCTGGCCTGTTCCTGCCCAGATGGGCTACACCCCTTTGCCTCAACCCCTCCCTCCTCAAGCTCTTCCCATCAGCTTGCTCAGCAACAAGGAACCCCCTCCCCCCAACAGCCGCCTCCTCTAGCAGCCCCCTCCTCCACCAGTGTGCCTTCAATGCCCTTTCTCCAGCTGACCTGGCAGGTGTGCCCCTTCCAGCACCCCCTCTCCCTCTCCCACCTGACAAGCCACCTGCTGATAAACCCAGTGGAACAGGTCTGTCCTCACTTGGTGCCTTACGGGGACCTCCCCCCTGGCCACCTCTCCCGCCTCAGGGCTTCCTTGCTGAGGGTGCTTCTCTGCTTCATCCCCGGCTGGTGACCTTCTCGTACTCCTGATGGCGCACCCTCTGTAAGCTGACGACTCTCCAAGTTCTGTTTCTGGTCACTTTTCCCTGGAGCTCCAGAGCCAGGAACCGGGCAACCTCTTGGGCTTTCCAGGGTCCTCCTTCTCAGACCTGCCTGTCTGGGTGGATGGACAGCTGACCACCCAGCCTCAGGTGGCCCAGAGCTCAGGCTCCTCCCTCGGGCGGCTCTGTAGCCTCACAGTCCTGCCCACGGCACCTGTGCACCCCCGGACCAGGTCCTGCCCATGGCACCTGTGCCCCCCCCGGACCAGGTCCTGCCCACGGCACCCGTTCCCCTCCCAGACCAGGTCCTGCCCACGGCACCTGTGCCCCTCCCAGACTAGGTCCTGCCCACAGCACCCGTGCCCATCCGTACCAGGTCCTGCCCATGGTGCCTGTGCCCCCCCCAGACCAGGTCCTGCCCACAGCACCAATGCCTGGCCTGGACCAGTTCCTGTGTCTCTGGCGCCTTGGAGGCCCTGCTGTGTGCTGGGCCCGGACCCGAGCGGTGTCTGTTGCTTCCGGGTGTCTAAGCCAGGCTGTGAATTCCCTGACCCAGCTGGTCTCTGCAGGGCCACACAGCACCCAGTGAGAGGCTGGCACTCAATGCTTGCTTTATGAATTGACAAACCAGTGAGCACAATAGTATTTTCACCCCATGTTTTAAAGCAATCATTTTACAGTAGTTTGATTTGGAAGCACATCCACATGAAAGAGGGAGGTGCCTGAAATTGTAGACTTACAGGCACCTTGCATGGGACATTCGCTAACCCTAGTGGCCGCCACGGCAGTGGGGTCTGTGCCAAGACCCTTGGAAAGGACTCAGCGACGGGTTGGTCAGTGCTGGTCTGTCCAGCAGCAGCTCCCTGCTTAGCTCCGCCCATAGCCCTGGCCCCCGCTCCTTGCAGTGTCCTCCCTGGGACAACAGAGAGCCCCTCGCCGCCTAGCACCACCTCCTAACGCAATGACGGTCCGCTGCTACCTCGCTGCCCTGTGCTCCGGGAGCCCTTGCCCTCGGTAACACTGTGCTCAAGGTGGGGCCTGGTCTCACAGGCTTCGGGTCACGTTCAGCACAAGGCCCATCACACCCATTGAGCCCAGTGTGTGCTGAATGAGTGGTCTGAACCCTCAGTCTGTAGTGTGTTTCTGGGGTGGCCCTGAGAGTGAATCTCAAAGCCCCCATCGTCCATTGCACAAGACGAACATTCTAGGTTTCCCAACCTTGCCAGCACAGTTGACAGCTATTACCTGAAATCCTGCACAGGCACCACGAGATTTCTGACCAACTCTCAGGCGGCACAGGCTGGGGCCAGGCCTTGTGACTCTAGAAGCCGCTGTGGAAAGTTCACGGCACCATCACAGTCATCCGCTGGCTCGGATGGAGCGCCTTTTGAAGCCAGGCGCCAAGGAGAGCAGGAGACCAGGTGAGGGCTCCTCTGGGGAGACCCAGATCCTGCCCTCCCGGGTCAGCCAGGCGTGTAGCGGGCGTGGACGCCACCCTATTGCCCCTTGGTGACAATGCGTGTGTGGGGGCTGTGGCTGGGGCAGGCATCAGGGCCCACATACACTTTCAAGCCTGGCCTCGCTTACTGCACCTACTCCCAACAGAGAGGGATGCTGGTCACAGGGACACTGGTCAGCGGACGCTGTTTTCAGTGGCCAGTTCTGGTTTTCATTTGGGAATATTCACCACTCCTCAGAGTCTTATTTGTTCTGCTGGGTTGTCAACACACCTGCCCTGGGCATCACCCTGCACGGCCCAAGACCTCCCATAACTGCAGGGGGTCGTGGTGCTGCAGCTGACCGGGTCTCCAGGGGCCTGGTTAGAGGAGGGAGCGCCCAGCTGCCTGGGGCCTCAGCAAGGACGTGGGGCCAGCCTGCAACCTGGCCCCCCACTCTTGCATGATGTGGGGGACGGGGGTGTCCCCACCTGGAGCGGGGGTAACTGGTACTCTGCAGCAGTTGTAAAGTGTCCCAGGATGATACCTTGTGTGGCGCCCGGAGAGGGTCAGGGTTGGGGGCTCCACACGAGGCGTCTGTTCCAGGCATTGGGAAGGGGTGAGCCAGGTTGAGGTGGTCACCAAACCTGTGTCCTGGGCAGGCACCACTCAGATGAGGGACAGGAAGGACTCTGCCTTCAGCCCCTCACCCCACCGGAGCCACTCAGGAGATAAACCGGAGACACAGAGGTCTGGAGCAGGTCTGAGGGAGCGCGAGGTCCCAGGGAGGCCCCTAGGACGGGGCACCCAGGGCCTGGGCCACCCTCTGCACTGCCTTGCGTAGGGCCTCCTTGACCTCCTGGTTCCGCAGGCAGTAGATGATGGGGTTGAGCAGGGGCGTGAGCACCGTGTAGACCACGGACACCACCTTGTTGAAGTCAAAGGAGTAGATGGCGCGTGGCCGGGCGTAGATGAAGAGGGAGGCGGAGTAGAAGATGACCACCACGGCCAGGTGCGAGGCACAGGTGGAGAAGGCCTTGCGCCGGCCGGCGGCGGACGGGATGCGCAGCACGGTGCCGAGGATGGCGGCATACGAGAAGATGGTGAGCTGCAGCGGCCCCAGCAGGATGAGCAGAGCCAGGAGGAAGTCGACCAGCTCCGCCACGGACACGTCGGAGCACGCGAGGCTCAGCAGGGGGGACACGTCACAGAAGAAGTGGTTCATGACGTTGGGGCCACAGTAGCCCAGGCGCGAGATGAAGAAGACCTTTCCCAGGGAGACGGTGAAGCCCGAGAGCCAGGAGCTGGCGGCCAGGAAGCTGCAGAGGCTGGGGCTCATGATGGCCGGGTAGCGCAGGGGGCTGCAGATGGCCACGTAGCGGTCATAGGCCATGACGCCCAGGAGCGTGCACTCGGTGCAGGCCAGCGCCAGGAAGAAATACAGCTGCGTCATGCAGCCCGTGAAGGAGATGTGTCGGAACTGGGGCTCCGCCAGGCTGAGCAGCATCTTGGGCACGGTGACGGAGACGTACCACACCTCCAGGAAGGACAGGTTGCTGAGGAAGACATACATGGGCTTGTGCAGCTGGGGGCTGACCCGGATCACGGCGACGACGACCACGTTCTCTGTGACGGTCAGCATGTAGGCCAGCGTGAACAGCACCACCAGGCACACGTGGAGGCCCAGCGAGCCCGAGAAGCCCACCAGGATGAACTCTGTCACCTCCGAGCGATTGTCCCCGAAGGGCATGGTGTGCACCTGGTGGCAGAGACAATGGGTCAGATGCTGGCTGGTGGGTGGGGTGCTGGAGGCCACGGCCCCTGCTCTGCTGCCCACGGGTGGACCTCCCCTCAGGCACTGGGTGGGATCTGGGCAGATGTGGGCTCTGCCCTGGGGCCACCGGCCCTGCCTGGCCGCAGACTGGATGAAGGCTGTGGTGTGCTGGGTGCCATGAGAACGTCTCAGGGGCCCGGCCTGGGGACCTGCTCACGGGTGTGGATGGGGCCCCACAGGATGGTGGGGCAGGCCTTGGCCAAGGTCACCCAGGTTAGGAGAATGGTTGCTGTGGGGAGGGGGCAAGGGGTTGGCCTGGGGTGGACAGGGACCTGCTGGGCTCCCGCTGTCTTCTTGGGTCGGGCGGGGGGGAGGGTATCTGCGGCCATGAGATGGGGCTTCCTCATCTGTACGCACGATGACAGCCAGAACTTGCCCTGCAGGTTGGATGCAGACCTATCGCACCTCCAGGGGGGTGGGATGCCGAGGTGGACGTCCGTGGGCTTGTGCCACAGGGGCTGATGGGGAACACGGCCACTCCTGGGGTGCCAGTTCCCTAGAAGAATTCAGGGTCCCAGGGAATTGGGAGGATGCAGGAAGCCGAGTTTCCCACCCTGGGTCCCCTTTTTGCCCTGTCCTGGCCAGGTGAGCCGTGCTCCCTGCCATGGGCCCTGGGGGTCCAGCCCTCCACCGCCCGACTCCATGTGTGGCTCGCCTGGTTCTGTCCAAGCCGCACTGGTATGGCCACAGGTGTGCAGGGGGCCCTCAGGGCCATGACTTCCTGTGCCCCCCGATTCCAGCCCCTGCAGGGATGGCTAGGGGATCAAAGGGGCAGGACTGGCAGGTGGCTTCCTTGCCTCCACAAGGACCTGTTTCACAACAGTGAAAGGGCCAGACCCTAAAAACAGAAGTCAGCTTCCTTCACCCCGGCCGTTCCCCTCCTGCCCGCCCACGGGTTTCCTGGCTCAGGGGCCCCCTGAAATGCTCCCCTGCACCCCACCCCACATCAGCCATGGCCTCTGTCCTAGGAACGTCCCTGCAGGCCACAGGCGTGCTTCCTGACCTCCAAAACCTGTGTCGGGACCAATCCACTCATTTGTAGAACGGTTGGGGTTTTGGCTTCTTACCTGTACCCTGAGTGTATCCGTACACTTGACGTGGAAGTGAGTTTGCTAAAACAAGCTGGCTGATACGGAGAATGGGCTTGGAGGACAAAAACCAGCCTCCGCTCTGCATCTTGCTGCCTTGAACCCTCAAGTTTAGTATATGTGCTGCCGAAGCGAGTGCTGCTGTGAGCCCTCAGAGGGCATCGCCCACACCAGGCCTTACCCACCGGGGCCTCAGGCCTGAGCTTGGGGCCGAGTGGGGTGTGGAGGGCGGTCCTCCTGCCCTGATGGAGTAGATGCCCCTTCTGGGGAGGCCCTTGAGCCCAGCACCTGGTAGGGTGGGCTGCCCCCAGCCCAGGTGTCAGCTCTTCTCGGCTTCCTGCCTCTTCCCGGAACCCCAGAACTCCCCAGGGCTCCTCCTGGCCTGTGCCCTTGAGTGACCACAGGCCCTTTGCCTCTCTCCCCTGCATGCTGCCCCAGATCCCAGGCCGCAGATCCCAGAGCTCTAAGGTGTGGCTCTGGAATGGGTGGCTCCAGTTTAAACCCCACCCTCCTGGAGACACCTGTGCCTGGGATGGGATAGCCACCCTCTCTGCCTCGGTTGTCCCATGGGGTCAGAGCAGACCCTTGCTGGGCTGTCCTGGCCCCAGAACGCCACGAGGGGGTGGGGATACACCAGCTCGGAGGACCACAGAAAGCCTGCACATCTGCTGCGTTCACTCGGGTGGGCTTGGTGGCCCGGGTGGGCAGCGATGCCTATGCAGCAGGAGGTGGCCTGGCCAGATCTCAGTGGGCCTGGTCAGCTCCCCCGTAGCTGGGGCTCTACCTCTCCCCCACTGTGGCCCCTGGTGACTCCAGGAGTGTCTGCTCAGACCTGCCAATGATCAGCTGTTGGACTTGGAATCAATGTCTCTCTCATCCAGAGCCTGTTTGTCTGTGTGAAAGAGGGAGCAAAGCCGTCAGCTTAGCCGACGGGATGGGAGACTGGTGCTTCATTAGGGGCCCCAAGTTCTCGTCACACAGACAGGAGAGGACACACGGTGAGTCCCCAGGCTCCACCGTGATGCTCCATGTGTGCTCCCCAAACTTCACATGGGTGCGGAATCACACGTGTCCTCCCCCAAACAGATTCGCTCAGGCACCCAGCCTCCCTGAGTCAAAGTCCCGCACGCCCCACGAGAGGCCCCTGACGCAGGTGTTCATGCAGACACCAGGGTCCTGCCAGCTGGACCCCCAGCAGACGCCCCCCAGCGGATCCAGATCCGGCACACAGACCTCGGTGCCCATGCCTTAGACACACAGATGCCCCTATAGACCCGGTCCTGCCCAGGAGACAGGTGCTGGCCCCCACCCCCCACGGCCTAAGCCTCAGGAGCCATACGCTGTGCCACAGAAACACACACGGACACAGGGATAAACCCCCAGACCACAGACACCTGGCCCTCAGAGACACTGGTTCGAGACAGACTGCTCAGCTTGTTGCCTTCATCGCATGCCTGGGCACACACAAACTCACAAGCAGGGGCTCACACAGGAGCACACACAGACACAGGTGCACATGCCTGTGCACATTCAGGGATGCACTGCACACAGACACGTGCACCTTTCAGCTCTCACCTGTGTGGAGACTGCTGGTTTTAGGTGGGAGATCGGGTTTGGAATCCCAGCCCCGCCCGCCCTCTGCTCTCAACCCCCAGCCCCAGCTCCTCACGGGTGGAGGGGAGGGTCTCTCAGTTCTCTGGCTTTCCTCAGGACTCGGTGCTGTTCCAGCCAGGGACTCAGCAAAAGCGGGTCCCTACCTGGTCCTTGAGTGCTGAGAGGGGGCTCGGCATGAGAGGTGACAGAGGGCTCTGACAGGGCTGTGTCCTGCTCTCAGCTGAATGTGGCACTGGGTGCCGGCCCCATGCGTCTCCCCCTCCCAGGGATGTCACATACCCCGTGAGCATGTAGGTCCAGGAGAGAGCTTGGAAGACACGAAACGAGATGAGCCGCTGCAAAGACCCCTCCTCACAATGAAAAAGACAAAGAGACCTCAAGTCCGAGGCGGCCACTGGTGCCTCCCCTGCTGTCTGCATTTCACAGGACCAAGAGTCAGGTGTGGGGGGAAAGTACGGGGGACCCCCGGTTCGCGGCCGTTGGGAACATCCCCTCTGCATGGGGAGAGCCTGGGCAGCCCAGGAGCCGAGCACCCCCAGGCCCCCCAGACCACGAACGAGTGTGTTTCTAAAGCATAACCGAGCGGCAGACGGAAAGCTTACCTCAGCCCTCGCTCACCATCTGCTCACTGGAGAAGGTCTCACAGGAGAGACAGGCAGAGCAGGAACTGGGCAGAGTGGCAAGGCTCCGTCCCTCCCCGCTGTCCCAGGGGCTGGTGCCCAAGACACCAACGGCTCCTCTTGGGAAACCCTTGAGCCTCTGCTCAGGGACCCACACCCCCTGGGAGCAGCTTTGTCAGCCAAAGTGGCCAGAATCAGAGGCCAGATGGCCTCCCTGGTTTCCTTGTGGGCACAGGGCAGCTGTGACCTGATGGGGGTGGGGCGTGGGTATGGGGGTCACTCTCGTCCAACCAGCAACAGCTCGGTGCAGCAGAGGGGCCCGGAAGTCTCTGCCCCCACCCCGCCAGAACCGTGGGTGACGAGCAGGCCCAGGCTGGTCCCAGACCCCACTCCCCTGAATGGGCTCCATGCTGCCTCATGGTCACCCACCTCCCTGCTCTCCAGCTGGTCACTGTGAGGGTCACATGAGGTGGTCAGAGACGCCCCCTTGTCAGCTGTGACACAGCTGTGGGGCAGAGGTGCATCCCTCTCTCCCACAGAGGTGGAGGTGAGAGGAAGGTGTCCAGGACCCCGCACTGGGCTACAGCCCTTCCCTGCCACGTGGGGTCCAAGGTCTGCCCACACTGTCCTGTCAGTCTCTGTACTCAGTCAGAGAAGGGTCCCCACAGGCCACAGGGGACGGCAGACCGGCCCCTTAGAGGTGGGCAAGGGACCTGCTGTCTGCTGGGCCTGGGGTCCGTGCCTCAGTGGAACCCAGATCTCTGGAGCTGCCTCTCTGGTGGCCCAGGGCGGCATGGGTTGGCCTTGTGTCCCTGGGCCCCTAAGTCATTTTAAAGAAGTCACGTGTTCTCAGCAAAGTCTGCCGGCTCCTACAGCGTCTCAGCCGGGCCCTGGACTCCATATACGACACTGAGCAGACAAGCTCCTGTGTGTGGCGCTCTGGTGTTGCAGGGAACCCACAAGTGGGATTGGGGAAGAGCGCTCCCGCCAGCGGGGTCACGGAGGAGGTCTGGGGTGCAGTTATAGCTTGTCCAGAATGCTGCGGACCGCGGGGGTGGCGTGGGCTGCCGGGTGGGGAATGGGGTGATTTCTGTGTGCTGGGTGTGGCGGGACAGGCCTGGACTCAGAGCTGGGGAGGGCTCGGCAGCCCAGCTCCCCGGTGGGTGCGGCCTGGCGGCGCCCCGGAGACAGGCCAGGTTCTGGGCAGAGCAGGGCTGCCGGGGAGGGGGGGCAGACGGGCGGGGTCCAGATGGGGTGCAGGCTGCAGTCCGAGCTCGCGATCACCGTGGTGGCGCAGGGCGTCGCTGGGTTTGCTGATGGATCCGGCATGGGGTGCAGGAGCGAGGGCCCGAGGATGTGGGATCGGTGGCTTTTGGAGTCTTCAAGGGGGGGGGCGGAGGAAGTTTGCCTGCAGGTGCAGATTAGGGATGAGGGGAAGCGGTAGGGTGGGGGCGTGGGACACATGAGTCCGAACCTCGCCGGAACCCCGGAGGTGGCTGCTGGGTCCCAGCCGCGTGCCGTGGAGGGCCAAGGAGGGTGCGGGAGCAGGGCTGGCTGGCTGCTCCGCTGGGCTGTAGGCCAACTCACCTGCTGA